TGAACTGACTGCTGAATTACAGGTCAATCTTCAGTCCTCAGTTAGAAGATCAGTTGGACAGAATTGGTGAGCTACAATCTGTTTAAGGAGCATCTTGCCATATTACCAGCACTGTGTGTTCTGTGTGTAATTGGTTACTGTTACAGAGAAAGAGTTCTTGAGGAGATTCAACCAATACAGACACTATGTAAACCCACATGTATTAGTACAGACAATGTCTGTAGGGCACAGCTTAAAAGTGTTTTGAATGTGATTTTATTACAAAATTGCTATTACTGAGAAAAATTATTATTACTCAGCTCATGCTAAGACTACTGACCTAACTAACTAACTAACTTAAAATCCTATTATCTGAACAGTTTTGGCAGTACAATAAGCAAAAAGATTTAAACTGAACTGAAGATAAAAGATATCGTAAGACTTTTTAGAACTCAGAAAAAACCCAGAAAAGCAGTTGTTTTGACTTAAAGAAATTAACTGTTTGAAATTTCGCTTAGTTAGTGTTTGGTCTTCATCATTTCAGGAAATCATACTTACACCACAGTGAACCTCGTTCTTCTGGGATTGGCTGGGACTGGAAAGAGTGCCAGTGGAAACACCATCCTTGGAAGGAAGCACTTTGTTTCTAAACCCAGTTCAAATCAAGTCACCACAGAGTGTCAGGTGGAAGAAACTGAGATAAATGACTTACATGTGCGTGTGATTGATACTCCAGACATGTTTGATGATGACACTGAACCATCAGTTCGGGACAAACATGTAAAAAGGTGCAAAGAGCTCTGTGAGTCAGAACTCTGTGTGTTTGTACTTGTGATGGATGTGAGCAGATTTACAGATGGTGAGAGAGACATACTGAAAAAGTTAGAAAACACTTTTGGGACCAAAGTGAAAGAACAAACTGTCATCCTGTTCACCCGAGGAGACAACCTGCAGGAGGCAGAAATGACCCTGGAGGATTTTCTTCATTCCTGTCAACCTGGTCTGAAGGAAATCATTGAAAAGTGCGACAACAGGTGTGTTGTTTTTGAGAACCGCAGCTCAAGTTCAGACCAGGTGGAAAAGCTAATGAACACAGTGAGCACGGTGTTAAAGAACACAGCAAAGATACAATAAAAAGGTCTTAGTTGCCATTTTTATGTGTATAAATATAAAGAGCAAGAATGTCATTCAAACATTTTTTAATATATTTTGATAAATCTTTGTATGGGTGTAGAGTGGTGTCACGTTATCAATTCATTAAAATTTTCCTCAATTATTTAATGATTTAAAATCAAGTCAATGATTTATTGATCAAAAATTCAACAAAAGACTTATAACTCTGAAAAAAAGATCCTGTGGTGTTTATTGTCAATAAAAAAACAAAGTGTCACATTTGACCTCTGATGTCTTCTTCAAGTTCATTACATTGATCTGAAGGTCAAAGTTATGAAAGTATTTAAATCTATGTTTTTTTTTACAGCCACTGTTTGTGCAAATAGCTATACAGGGAGCGTGTGGTGGGTTTGTAGTCATGCTGCTGGGTTGAGGCTGATCCACACAGCTTTTTTCCATCACCTGTTCATGGCTTTCCTATTTTAGTAGGATAACTAGACCTGACAGTAAAGCTCTAAGAATGGTGAAGAACTGATGAGGACAGCTGGAAAACAGCACCAACTAAAAAGTGCACTCTGAATAAAATATCACCAGACATGCTTTGGGTCGTATTATCACAGTGGTGACAGGCGGAGGTGCATCAATTACAGCTCAACTTGCTAAAGGGACACCATCTTAGAAAGGGGGAGGTGAAAAAAGAACTGCAAATACCAACAGAATCCACAAAATCTATTCCTGTGTCCACACCTATTCTTCCCTTTCTCAAGTCACTGTCATTCCTGCCCAGGATATGTGTTTCAGTGCACTACTGAGTATATTTCAATAATTACTTCCTCCAAACCATCAACGTGTCTTTTAGACCCCATTCCTACAAAACTGCTCAAAGAAGTCCTGCCATTGATTAATTCTTCGATCTTATATATGATCAACCTATCTCTAATGATCGGCTATGTACCACAGGCCTTCAAGGTGGCTGCAGTTAAACCTTTACTCAAAAAGCCATCTCTAGACCCAGCAGTCTTAGCTAATCATAGGCCAATCTCCAACCTTCCTTTCATATCAAACATCCTTGAAAGAGTAGTTGTCAAACAGCTAACCGATCATCTGCAGAGGAATGGTTTATTTGAAGAGTTTCAGTCAGGTTTCAGAGCTCATCGCAGCACAGAAACAGCTTTAGTGAAGGTTACAAATGATCTTCTTATGGCCTCTGACAGTGGACTCATCTCTGTGCTTGTCACACAAGCTAATAGCTTCTCAGAAAGATGGGTGTTGTCATTAACAAACATGACGAAACGTTGAATGGCAATGTAAATATACCTGTAAAATCTGTGACTTTCCAATGAAAATATTTTCACTAACGTTATTGTTGATGAGATCACAATGAATCAGATGTATTAAAAATGACTTATGATAAAGTAAAAAAAAGTATGACTAAAGTATGATTTAGTTTTGTAGAATCAAAAAATGTCTTTCTATTGAATGTCAACAGATATTTAAATATTATTTTTATGTAGTTTAATATGTTTCAACCAGGCACCATGTGACCATATTCGACACACCTAAGTGCTTAAAGAAAGTAATTAAAGATATAAAATGGTTAGATATAAAATCTATGAATGTGAGAGTGAATGAATAGTGGTATTGTAAAGCGCTTTGAGGTTCCCGAAAAGCGCTATATAAATGCAATCCATTATTATAATTATTATTATTATTAAAAACAGCTCGCTTAAATCGCTAGAGAACACACACATATACCTTCATACATATCACTACCAAGCACTTATCTGCAGAATCTCATACATACACACGTGCACACCTTCATACACCATGTTCATTTGCACAATTCGATTGCACTGTTGTGTCTGCACTGTCTTGTCGACTCTTGTGATTTCCTTCGGGGTGATAATACTTTCCAAAATACTGATTGTCTGTGGTCTGTATGATGCATCTATA